TGACGACCATTGCTGTGACGTCACCGCGTTGAAATACTACATTGGTGCTTGGCTGTTGTCCTATTTGTGGCACTATTTCATTGAATGCCTTTGTTAAGATCATATTATAGTCTTGGGATAACACTACTTGTGTGAAATATAAAGTTTTTTTTTAAATATAATTTACCACAAAAAACGAGTAGAATAGAAACAACTACTATATAATGAATATATATTAAACAGGATATACTATAGGTAAATAGCCAAACTCCGGAAAATGTTTGAAATAAAGAGAAAATAAAAAAAATAATAATAATGGCAATTTGAAAGTTTTAGCGAACCATAAAAAATAGCACCCAATGTTGATTTAAATGTTAATGGAATTATTTGTTTTCATCATGAACGATAACGTAGAGAAAAGTTGTTAAATGTGGATAAAATAATTTGAATTAATTGTTGGGGCAGTCTATAATAGAAAGTGGTGTTAAGACTAAAGAGTATTGTATTTTTGTGGCTCTTATCAACAAAATCATGCCAAACACAACTTCTTATCATAGAAACAATCCTTCTTTTGCATTTAAACTCTATAGCTAACAGGTGAATCAACATGTTCCCAAATGTCTAAAAAATCTCAATAAATATTTATACCATATTGGGAAAGATGCAAAAATATACGTAATCTCCCTCTTAAATATGGGATCCTTGTAACTTGGGTAGTTTATTCAAAAATCCCAGAAACTACTTAAAAAACATATTAGTACAGCCTGGAAAAATAGTTGTCAATTTTTTTTTTCGATAAACCACCTTGTACAAGCTATTGCAAAATGTTAACTACAAAATATTTTCAAACAAAAGTGAAGAAATTTAGACCACAAAAACTGTTCTAAACCATTCCACAACCACGAGGATAACTCATTCATTGCGACTAGGCAAGGGCAGGGAAGTGTCGATTGCCACCAATGACACAATTATTTACAACCCTCTGATAAGACCGGAGCTGTGTTATCTGGGACAGTTCAGCAAATAGCACCAGCGGTGTATGTGGTTTCTTTATGTACAAGGTTATTGGTTTGTTTAGTGGTGAAGTGCGCCATAATGATGACATAACCGTGCAAGTGCAGAAAACCCAGATTCGACCCACGGACAACGAACTGACCGAAAATGATGTTTAATAAGTACAATGTGTTTGTAAGTAGATTTGTTCAAAAGAGTGCGTTGAGTGTTTTATAAGAGAGAGAAAAGCACTTAGAAAAATATATGTATTTTCGTATTTTTTAAAACATGTTTCATTCCTGCGAAACATTAATTTTGTATGCCTACAATAATATTAAAAGTTTGGAAAAATATACATAAATTATTTCCTAAAACGTGGTTGCATTCATAATATTTTCCCTGTAGGCATAATATTTTTATAATGTATGAAACATGAATTGGTTTTAACGGTAGTATATTGCTCAGTTAAAAATTAAACATGATCTAGGAGCTGCATTGAATTTATTAAAATGTAGCTTAGTTCAGTTATTGTCAACAATATTCCAATGTAAAATCAAAGCTAGTAGAGCAAAATGCAAATGATTTACATTAAATTAAAACAACAGTTTCGTAATACCTGCGCACTATGAAGAGAATCTAGTAACTTCTTCAACAAGTTAGTTTACATTTCATCAGATAGAATAAATATTCCATTGCCGATTAAATTTTTCCCTGTTTAGTTAAACAATTGTTCTTTACTCAAACCCATAATTCACCTATTTGTTTTTCCATCACAACTTGTTTTGAATTGTTATAAATAAATGCATAGTTTTCATAGTTAAGCTATGTTTTAAATGGTCAATGATAAAATAAGTTTCAAGGTTCATACCAGTGCTCTCTTTATATATTGGTGTGATAACTGACCTAGTAAAATAGAAATGTCTGCAAAATGTTATCATAAAATATTTTCAAATTTAATTGAACCCTAAATATTTATCTTACAACTAATTATGTTTTTGTTTACTGCCATTAAACCTAAAAATCCCATTATAATTAAGCACAATAGTTTATACCTTCGACAAACCCAAAATTTTGAAAACTGTATGCTAAAAACAAAAACACATTAAGCTAGGAAAAATAACAATTTGTTAAAGAGATACAATTTGAAATGTCAGGGAAGCTTTTAATTAAAGGATACATTTTCAAGTGACCTTGATTACGTTAGAGTATACTAGGTCAAGAACTTCCACAAGAAGTATTTAACCTTCAAAGAGCAAATATAATGATTATGAAGGCAAGAGCAACATGATTACTGTTTATAATGATTTGCAAGTCTGGAATATGATACTGGAATATGATACTGGAATACGATACTGGAATACGATACTGGAATACGATACTGGAATATGATACTGGAATACGATACTGGAATATGATACAGGCATACGATACTGGAATATGATATTGGAATACGATACTGGAATACGATACTGGAATATGATACTGGAATACGATACTGGAATACGATACTGGAATACGATACTGGAATATGATACTGGAATACGATACTGGAATACGATACTGGAATATGATACAGGCATACGATACTGGAATATGATACTGGAATATAATACTGGAATATAATAGCCTACTGAATGTTTCAACTCAGATATCCGAATAAAAAATAAAAAAAACTGAAAAAGCAATTCACTATAGAACTTTGATAACACGTATTTCATTTGGATGATCAAATATGCCTTGCTATCAAAGTTTACTCCTTACCGAGGTTTGTAATAACAAGAATTTACGGATAGTATAAAATCAATGACATTTGAAAATGACCTTTATTATCAAGGGCCACTTGTTTTTATGGGTCTTCTTATGGATGTTCCCCCGAAGTTTCATCAGATTGCAGGCAGTTGGAAAATTGTGGGTGTCGGAAAATAATTTCAACGGTTTTTGGGGAGAATGTAGAATGGATGATTGGGGTAGAGACATACATAATTTTGTCTAATGAATCTGAGATGGACATAAAAAAAATACCAATTGATTGGATTAATCACTTGGGAAATCTAGCGTCGTAAAATAACAAAAACATCCTGTGTCACGCACTACTGTGATAATAGAAGGAAACCGATGTCACACACCCCCCCCCCCCAGTCACCTTCGAAGAATATTACCATAAAAAATGTCCCCTTCTCTTCTATAGATAAAAAAATATATTATGTAGGTATAAACTATGAACATCTCTTTATATGCAAAAGCAAAATCAATAAATAAAAGGGGTTTAAGATCTTACAGATTTACTTATTGTTTTATGTAAAAGGTTTGTTGAATATTTTAACTCATTATTGTTTTTTTAGAGGGACAAATACCCGTTGGCCATCTTATTTGTCGTAGCAAGTATATTCTTTGAAAAATTCTACAGCAGTGGCATGATAAGTAAGTAAATTAAAGTAAGTTAAGTAAGTTAAGTATAAAATGATACAATAAACATTTGCAATGGCTAAACTACAAAGGATGAAAAAGTTCCAGCTCGTAAGGTATTTTAGCATATCTGGTTATACAATTTTGGATGGGGAGGAGATAAGAGAAGACCCTACAACTCATACTAGATTTTTACTATAACATATTAAATAATAATTTATTACAGAATTTGGTAGTGCAATTATATGTATCTTGTTAACATGTAAAGATTGTGCATGTTCAAAACATGAGTACACAACCTTTCTTTTCATACTTTTAACCCTGGCTATATCTTTAATGTTTTCATTTAGAAATAATATGTGTTTTGTAAATATTTATCTGCATTTGTAAGGGATGAAAAATAGAAACAAGACAATTAGTACTGTCATAAAATATCTAGTTCATATAACTTGTAAATCACAGATAATTATGTGACTAACGATTTATGATATTTTTTTAATTGATAGAACCAAAGCACTAACCAGGAAATAGTTAACATTCACAATTAACAGTGTACGACTAGAAAATCAGCTGTTGTTTCCTCAATCAGCTCAACAATTAGTCTATAACTTAGTGATGTATCGACAGTCCAATGTTATTAAATACGTAGGAATCATACAGGGTGGCTGAAAAGTAACTTGCACCCCCCTTAACTTTTCAACCATTTGAGGGATTTGAAATCGGTTTGCAACAACCTTCTTAGATATGAGGGGCTACAATAATTATGGTCCATTTTGAAAATGTTGCCCTTAGGGGTAGCGGGGGTAGGGGGTAGCTCAAAATTTTCAAATAGCAAGTATAGTCGAGTTTGATATCATTTTGTAGGTCTTGATGAAACATAACAATTAACGTAAATAAAATAGAAATCAGAACATTAGTAACAAAATGGCAGCTAAAAATGATTGAGACAATGGTTATTTAAAGTAATTTTGAACTGCCATTTTGTTATTAATGGTCCGATTTTGGTTTTCTTTATGTCAATATTTAAGTTTAGTCAAGACCTGTAAAATGATACCAAACTCGACTATACTCGTTATTTGAAAATTTTGAGCTACCCCCTACCCCCGCTATCCCTAAGGGCAAAATTTTCAAAATTGACCATAATTATATTAGCCTCTCATATCTAAGAAGGTTGCCGCAAACAGATTTCATATATCTCAAATGGTTGAAAAGCTAAGAGGGGGGTGCAAGTTACTTTTCAGCCACCCTGTATAAGATTATCACAGGTATCACAGATTGTTATGTTTCTTGTTTTAGTTGTTTTTCTAGTCTACTTCGTGCAAATCAAAATAAAAGGGTAACAATACCTGCAGACTTCCTATAGTGGTACTTGATCAAACTCAACAGGATAACGCGTTTCGGTATTATCGTTTCGTGTTATCCTGTTGGATGATCAAAGACCACTATAGGAAGTCTGCAGGAATTGTAACAATTTTATTTTGGTTGTTATGTATTTTACATTGTCATTTTGATTCATATGGGATTATATTTTAACCACAGGTTACTACTTACTTTTCTAAACCAGCTTTGACAATTATTTTATTACATGACATAGTCTTTATAATGTTTGTGTCTTGTTGCAGCAATATTAACGCTTTATCTCGTAGACATTTTGAAGTTCTCAGAAACAGATGCCACACTGATATACCATGTGTACACAATGCTTGGTTCCTTCTTTCCGGTCATTGGAGGCATCATTGCTGACAGCTACCTTGGCAGATACAAGTAAGTTAAGTTCAAATTTCATATTTTTTTATTTTTTTTATTTTACCAAAGGTTTAAGTATTACATCATGACTTTCTATACCAGTGTAGAAGTTTTGGACCAGATTTACTTAATCTTTTTCTGTAATCAAAATCTAAGATAAAATGTTTACAGAGTTTGTTCATTGCATTTTATTCCTCCTTAAAGAGACATGAAAGATGTCACAGTTTAAAATATGATATTATTTCGGGTTTGTTTGTTTAGAAGATGCACACAGTATAAATCATTTTGACGCCAGCACACTCCGTCGAAGGCTCGATTCAATTAGGTTGATTTTCATCCTAAAACCAGCTCAATCTTGAATTATTTCTTCTTTAATTTGGGAATGGTTGTTTTTCTTCTATCATTAGGATGCTGCAACCAAACAAACAAAATGTTAAATTGGACACTCAAAATATTGTTTGATAGGCTTTTTGTGTAATAAAATTATACTTTCCTAAATATTTGGTATCTAATATGTTAGTAAAGGCTAAAATACTGAAATAAAGAAACGATTTAAAAATTTTACTTAGGTTAAAGCAAACTACAGTTTTTCCCCGTGTTGGTAAAAATCTAAAGAAGTTTATTTTCTTTTGGGGTTTTATTAGACATTTGCCTTGATTCGCGTCTCAATTTCTTTATACAAAGCATCACAATTTGTTGTTGTTCTCCAATACGTCTTTATAAGATTATAATGTTCCTTTACCATAAAAATATTAGGTTCCTAACCATTCATTCACAGTTTGTATTTGATATTTTTTTTTGTATTATGTAATATACATTTTCGCCAGTTGTTTGTGTATACTGTACTTTTTTAGGTAAACAAATAGTTTTTAAGAACTGTAGAATTGGAGTCGTGTATTTTTATTACACATGTTAACGAAAATAACATATTTACTTTTAAACTCCTTTTTGGGCTCTAACAAACATTTCTTGGCTGAGCATAAATACAATTTTGTTTTCAATTGGTTGAATACTAAAAAGGAACTGTTTATTTCATATGAAAATGCTAGTACTTCGGTACAGGGGTATATTTACTGTTTTATGAATCGTATTCCTTAGTTTTTCAATAACATTTGGGTATGTTTCAAGGACGATTCTCTACCTAACCGTAGTGTATGTAGCTGGAGCTGTAGTGCTTACGACTGCATCAACACCATTCTTCGGCCATGTAGATAAAAGGTAAGTCTGTTAAAAGTACTATGAATGCACGCATTTTAAAAAAAGTATTTTTATTTAGAAAAAAAACTGCTTGTTAAATTTAGAGATCATTTCTTAAATCCTCTTGAATAACAAATGATGAAATTGTTTGTACATTGAGTGCGCCCGGTCAAGTACGATGAAAACCACCTTACTGGGATGTCGTTAAACTGATTATACTTCAGCGTTGCAAGAAGCAACTCAAAATCTACCGAATCAAAAGCCTGAGAGAAGTCATTATACTGTTTAGGGCCTCATGTTTTGCAACGATCATTTTGTCAATAACATTGAGAAGAGCTGATGAACAAGTACTAACCCCTGCCTGAAACCTGACTGTGTTTCAGTAAGTAATCCTCCAGATTCTACATGAAAGACTAATTGCTCTGCCACAACCTTTTCCATTATTTTGGAGATAACAGGGAGGATTGAAATAGGTCGGAAGTCAGAAACCAAAGAAGGATTAAGGTCTTTTGGTAGAGGAACTACCACGCTCTGCTTCCAACTAGAAGGAAAACTTCCAGTGCTCAGTGATACTGTACATTGATCAAATGAGTAATTGCTCCAATACAGAAAGGGCTCAAACCTCTGATCATTTTTATTGATATTCCATCCACCCCTAATGAAGTACTTAACCCTTTTTTATAAACCTTTACTTGTTCCTTTATCGTTGGAACCAAAATTTAGAACCAAAAAGTAGTTAAATCAACCCTAAAATAAGAGAAGACTCTTATCTCTGGAAACTAGTTGCCAAAACAGCAACAGTGGAAATGTAGACATTGTAAATCATTTTAAGTATAATACAGTAATCCGGAGGCTAAACAACTCTTTGAAAATGAAGACTTAAGAAGTTTAAATTCTAGTCCACTTAATCGTCAACATAACACCTTCAACAAATCTCTTCACTTCAGATTTTAGCTTAGGATGAAAAGGCTTGCACTATTCAAAGTAAATGACATAAAATATCTTTTTACAGGATTTTTAGTATAGTCGGTTTCGTCGCTATAGTTATAGGCAGCGGCTGCTCCAGCCCGTGTACCCTCCCCTTCGGCGGTGACCAGTTTGTCACCCCCAGGCATGTCCGTCAACTCCCCATGTTCTTCAGCCTCTCCTACTTCGCTGTCAACGCATCCGCCCTCATCTCAATGTATGTCACTCCCATCTTGAGGCATAACTTCCAATGTTTCGGGGAGGAAAACTGCTTTCCCTTGGCGTTTGGAGTCCTAACATTCGCTCTCATTATGTCACTGGGTAAGTTATAGGCAACATTCTAATCATCTAGTATGCTTAATTATACATGACTGGCAATGTATACAAGTGAAATTGTTTAAACTAATGTTAAATACGATCAAATAAAAATTTTGGTTAATAATGTAGTGACCTACTATAATGTTTTATGTAACGCATGCTTATAACAAACTGGTTGAGGTTTTTACCAACACTTTATCTTGTTGCAGTTGCTTTTTGGTCTGGAAAAAGCCAATACATTCGTCAAGAGCCCCAAGGAAATATTATCGTCGATGTCTCAAAATGTATAATCGTAAGTTCAGTTTTGGATTCCAGAAACTTTCTTTACGTAGCACTATCTTGATTGTCAGGATTCACTAAAGAAAGACATTCACATAAAAATATAAGGGTTTTAAGCCTTAGCGTGGATCTATATTTATTCAATGAAAACATAAAAATCCCGATTCAATTATCAATTTATTTTAATAACTTTTATAACTTTTGTTTCAGGCTGTCCATAAAATGATTACAAATATGATGATGCTTATCAAAAAGATCTCGTAAATATCAACACTTTTCTTTCCTTGGAGCCTTTAATCTTCTAGCGACAATAGGCCTATGCTTAAGCGTTTTACACTTTTGCATTAAATTGTTATTAAATATTATTTTAATCGGCTTAACTATCATTATAAAATCCAAACACTTAATATTCAAAAGTATCACCATGCCTTCTTGAGTACCTTTTGACTTCTTGATAGGTTGCTTTTAGTTTTCAGATTAGTGGCTCTTAGAATTGCCTAAAATAAAAGTACAATATCGATAAATTCAACAATATCAGCTTACAGACGGTCAAAATATGTAGTACAAAGCCCTGTCAAAATTAACAAAAATACATTTATTAGTGAAAACCCACAACCTGAGAAGAACATATAATTATATGTAATAGATTTTGTCTAGGTTTAAAAGTACAAATAATTAGGGATAAAAGGCAAGAAACCTGTTACCTGTTATTCCAGTATTGATTATGATCGATATAGTATTAATCATCTCTGTGTTTTTTTTTTTTGCAGCATGCTCTCAAGAGTAAGTTAAGATCGAAGGAGACGAGGGATCACTGGCTGGACCATGCAGACGAAAAGTTCAGCAAATCACTCATATCTGATACCAAAGCTGCGTTCCAAGTTCTCTTCTTATTTCTACCAATGCCTGTGTTCTGGGCACTCTATGACCAACAGGCAAGTTGATATTTCTTTGATAAAAGAAACATATACTGAACCTGACAACCAATACAAATTTCAAATAATTTTGTGGTTATTACTGTACTCTGACTCAAGTCAGACTTTTTTAGATCATCTCGCTAGGAAATGACATATAGTAAACCATACATATATTCTGGAATAACTTAAACATTTATACAAGCACTTAAAAACCCTGAATATAATCAGCAATTGCAATTTAAATATCAGAATTATTTTGATATTTTAAAGAGGTTGGTGGCCTCTTTTAATCTTGCATTTCTCCTCCCACATAGCTCCAGGTCATACCGGAAGCGTATCCAGCAAAGCAAGGGATGAGCCGGTATAGTACAAGGGTGAAGTTAAAAGAGTATAGTTTCCTAACCCCTTCGATTACTTGATATTGATCAGTTTCTCTGGAGTTCAGAATGTTATTATCTAAGTCTAATTTTCCAGGGCTCCAGCTGGAAGTTCCAGGCCACCCGTATGAACGGATCCCTAGGCTGGTTCACCATCAAGCCAGATCAGATGCAGGACATCAACCCCCTACTGATCATGGTGTTCATCCCCTGTTTACAAACATGATGTTCTTCATATTTTCCCAGTGCTCCAGCTGGAAGTTCCAGGCCACTCGTATGAACGGTTCCCTAGGCTGGTTCGCCATCAAGCCAGATCAGATGCAGGACATCAACTCCCTGTTGATCATGGTGTTCATCCCCTCGTTACTTACTAAGTCTTCATATTTTCCCAGGGCTCCAGCTGGAAGTTCCAAGCCACCCGTATGAAAAGTTCTCTAGGTCGGTTCACCATCAAGCCAGATCAGATGCAGGACATCAACTCCCTGTTGATTATGGTGTTCATCCCCTTGTTACTTACTGATTCTTCTTATTTTCCAGAGCTCCAGGTGGAAATTCCAAGCCACCCGTATGAACGGTTCTCTAGGTTGGTTCACCATCAAGCCAGATCAGATGCAGGACATCAACTCCCTGTTGATTATGGTGTTCATCCCCTTGTTACTTGCTGATTCTTCTTATTTCCCAGGGCTCCAGCTGGAAGTCCACCCGTATGAACGGTTCCCTAGGTTGGTTCACCATCAAACCAGATCAGATGCAGGACATCAACTCCCTGCTGATCATGGTGTTCATCCCCTTGTTACTTACTGATTCTTCTTATTTTCCAGGGCTCCAGCTGGAAGTTCCAAGCCACCCGTATGAACGGTTCCCTAGGTTGGTTCACCATCAAACCAGACCAGATGCAGGACATCAACCCCCTGCTGATCATGGTGTTCATCCCCTTGTTCGACATCGTCATCTACCCCTGGTTGGCCAAGTACCGTCTCCTGGAACGACCCTTACAGAGGTTCACAGTCGGAGGACTCCTGGCAGCGGTGGCCTTCGCCATGTCAGCCGTTCTCGAGTGTAATCTAGAAGTAATGTCCAAGAGTAAGAGTAATGTCTTTTAGTTTTAAAGATTAGGTTTTATTTCCTAAATATATCCTGATGTATTTTCACGACCCAGAATATATTTGAACAATATTTATCCACATTGTAACGTTCATTGCGTTAGCAGCTTATGTATGGCTTAAAACGTTTTTAGTTGAACTGTAATTACTATACATTTTATAATATGTAACGCTATATCGTTAGTCAATAGGTTTTGAACCGCACGTGAAAAAAAAGTAACGTGAGAGCCACTATTACTTTAATAAACTAGTTTCAAGTCATTTCTAAAAAACATCATTAGCTCTATTCTCTATATTACAACTGAAATTTATTAGCTATATTTTACAACGACAACTCATAAGCTCTATTTTACATATAATTGCAAGTTTACTAAACAGCAAGCAGTATTACAAACCTTTTTTTATTTACGGAAAGTTAAAAAAAAGTACCACGGTTAAATATAATGTATTTAGGAGGTAAAAGTAAAGTCTATATTTTGGGGACAATGGTCTAAAAAGTGTTTTAGACAAAGACGAATGACATGTAGTTGTATTGTAGGAGATAACAGTTTTGTTCCTGACTAAGATCATCTTGATCTTTAGCCAGGATTTGTATAAGTAAAAACACTATGGTCAAGGAGATCCGCTGTTTACAATTAACTGATTGTTTCAATCACTTTTTCAGACGACATACCCGGTCCTGCCGAGTCATGGATTGGCGCAACTGAGGATATTCAACGGTCTGGAGTGTGACGTCGCCTTCACCCTCCCCATGGACCCTCGGTCTGGAGTCATCCCCGCCCTGGACGCTCTACAGCTCACCAGCATCCCACTGGAGGGTGAGGCCGAGTACGAGCTAAGGTTCATGACTGCTGCTAACTGCTCGGAGTTCAGGAATAGAAGGTTTCATGGGAGAGTCGTCCTGCAAGAAGCTAAAGTGAGGAAATAATACTCTTGAGATATATATATTTTTTTTGTGACTATAAAATATAATCATTGACTATTTACTGAAGTAGACGTCCCATGTGTGTGGACCAGAAGTTGCCGAATTTTCTACTAAAAGAACTTAGTCAAAGAATGTGCTATACTTCGTTTAAAATATTTAGGTGGTTTGAGGGTAAATTCCCCTACCACTTTCTTTATTATTGTATGCTGCTTGATCAGCTGTTGAGCTATTATTTTAAAGATACTGGTCAAGTGGAGGAGATAGATTTCTTTCCCTAAAACCACCTAAATATTGTGAACTAAGTATAGTTCCTAAAAACATACTTTCTTTCTGATCTATTTTTACTGCCAAACATAGTTTATCGCTTAGAACAGTTGCTATAGCTCACAATAAGTCGTTCTACCAGTTTGACTTAGTAAAAGGTTCGTGTACTGATGTTAAATCAGAAATTTACATCAGCACGGTATGTTGATGGGCCTCGTCAACTAAAACAATTTAAATTAAAGAACTGGCGATATCTTTATGGGGTTGGAATGTCTAGCTGTATCAATAGTCAAAGAATATAGTGTAGTAGGGCATGGTGTTTCTGATACTTGTTAACTAGTGTTAAAAACTTCCATGAAATTTGTGGTTTCACTAAATAAGTTTTTTGTAGAAAACAATAAACTCAAAATAAATTACACTTGTTTATAAAAATGTTTTTGAGTTTACATAATAGATATCTTACCATATTCCATAACAACTTATAATTTTCTGATTTTCACTAATAACTAATTTTCACAATTTCTTTGTGTTTTATGTAAAACAAAATAGCTATAGCCTAGCAAACTTTATCCATTTTGTTTACATAATAAACAAATAAAACATGTAATTATGATGTTGCAACTTTTGGTGATTGATTTTTTTCCTTTAGGCCACGTCAGTCTTTCTTCACACCATCAAAGGAGTCCCTGTAGTTTCTACGGTTAACGAGACTGACGAGATAGACAAAACTGATCTTGAAAACCCTCGACTCAGGTATGTCTGTGTTTTAGATAAATCATAAGTATTGGGTCACTTCAGTATTTGTTTTTATATTATTTATGCTGCTGGTGTAACATCAGATTGAAAATACCTTCTATTTGTGAGTACTAGGTAAAATAATAATTATCAAAAGGTAAAATAACGTTTCAACTTAGGCTCAAAACCTCCTTTGTATTATTCTGTTTATTTCTTGTTTCTGTTTTATGTAATTAATTTTGGAGAATTTGTACATATGTAAGTAAACTCAGCAGTAGTTCCAATAGCAGTGAAATGCAAGATTGATCTTTGTACAGATTTCATACACAGCCTTGAGATTCTACGTGGACACAGTTGTTTTATGAGATGTATGAGATTATTTTAAATTTTACGAGAAGCTCTGTCTACGTTTTAAATAACTTTTTTCTGTTCAAGGGTCCTTCACAGCCTCAGACCGTTCCAAAGCGAGTTCTGGCTGTCCCAACATAAGTACCATGAGATGTTTGAGTTTGAGAAAGACACTTTCTCCACTCCATACAAATCTGTTGTGGAAACTGGCAGGTACGGTTAGTGTTTTTAATCGTCGTTCTTTCCCAACATACAAAACTAATATATACAATGTATGAAAGCAAGCATGTGTTAACAATGATTTGAATAGTAAATTAAGCCATTAATAGAAGAGGGTAGCCAATGTTAAAATTGTCCCTATTAAAAATATAGAAGTCCTGACATTTCATGACCTGGCCTAACATATCCTAACCTAACATAACCCAACCTTACGTTACATTACCTAACCTAATATAGCCCACCCTAACCTTACATGACCTAACCTAATGTACCTTAACTTACATCACCTAACCTAACAGTTATCCTAACCTTACTTCATTTGCATAGGGTTTGTAGTGCAAACATAATTAAATTATAACGAAAATGGTATTTCTTAACTTAAGATCTAAACCACCAACTACTGATTTAGTTTACGGTATTCCCCTATCATAGTTTTTAAAATGTTCAAAGAAAAATAAAGCTCTTAAAAGTTAACATTTCTATCTATTGCCTCCACGATTTAATCATTATATTAATTAATTTAACCATTGCGGTCGTTATTAGATCTTGTGTTGGTGTTTTAACTGTGTTATATAAACTTGTAACATTTTTACTTTGTTTTCTAGTTTTACCGCCATGTTAGCCAACAGAACAGTCTATGGAGATATCAAGCTAGGGCCTGCTGGTATATATACTCTCATTCTGCACTCCCACAATAACTTTACGGTGAGTAAAGATGTAAATGATCTTTAACACTTTTTTAAGGAATTGCATTTAGTTTGCCTCTAGTTGTATTTCGAGATCTTATATTTATCTGAGTACTGCCATAGACAAAAATAATTAAATGTAGACCGCCAGCCGTGCTGTGGTCGCCCTTGTTACCATAGGTTCTGGTGCACACCGCTGGGAGCGCCGTGTAGTTACTGAACATGTAGGCCGTAATTACATGGCGCTCCCAGCGGCGTGCACCAGAACCTATGGTAACCACATTAGAGCTGACCGTCTATGTTTAATTCTTTTTGCCTATGGTACTGCTTTTTGGCTAATATTAATATTTTTTCAGATAGGTCACGTCATTGAGGTGACCCCTCCCAACAGTGTGCACATGCTGTGGCAGCTACCTCAATACATCACCATAACTGTTGCTGAGATCATGTTCTCTGTCACAGGCAACGAGTTCGCATACACTCAGGTAACAAGTGCTAGATTATAGTAACAATACAGAGGTAACGTCTCAGAGTGCAGTATTTGGTGACTAAGCTTTTAGTTCTTGCTGTATCTACGAGGTAGCAGCACTCACATGCCTCCCTCCAACCAAAATAACATTTTCGCTATTATAAAAACCAATCTGCTATTCTTTCCACTCTTACGTAGGTTCGCGTTCTTGGGCCAATTATATATTTTAAATAAATGAAATGTACAAAATTATGGTTTGACTTGGAGTTTTATGATGATACATTTATCGAATTACTATCTTTGATTTGTTTATTTGGTAGATAGAAGTGAGTAAACACTTTTAACGAGGCTGTTTTGATTCCAATACATATATTTCCTTGCAACAAATACTTCAAATCAATTCAATTCTTTTTCAATTTTGTTATTTTGTCCAGAGGTGTTTCTATCGTACCAACATTATGTGAATTAAAATCAATTTACATTGAACTAATATTCTACAGCTAATGTTTTGGTGGTGAAATTATGCTTCATACAAGAGTGTTGGTTTTTTATGTATACAATTTAATTTTCAGGCGCCAGACTCGATGAAGTCCGTGATATCCGCCTCGTGGGCGATGACTGACGCTGTTGGCAACTTTATTGTGGTCATCATTGCACATGCGCAACTGTTCGACAGCCATGTGAGTTGGTTAGGTTATGTTTGAAGCTAGGTTAGGGCAGCACGGCTAAGGTTATGTTTAAAATTAGGTTATATTACAATGAAAATAGCAAGTTTTGGTTTGGATTTAGGATTATATTTGGTTGGCTGATAGTCAAAGTAGTCAAAGTAAAGACATGGACAGTCTTACATGCCTAACTTACATTTAGGACCAGAAAATATGAGAAGGGTTATGTTTGAGAATGTTAACATTTAAACTGCAGTGGCACTCAATAACAAAAACCTTTATAGTAATTAAGTCATCCTTGATAACAAATGTCGTTTAAAATACTCTAGAACAAATTTTGCCCCTGGTCACATCTTTTTTTAACCTCGATAAGTAGTCAACCTTGATAATAAGTCTTATTTAGTAATGCCCATGAGATTCTTGTCATCGAGGTCTTACTGTATTCTATTTCCAGTTAATAGAGCGTTTAACAAATTAAGACAAGTGCAGCATTGTTATTGTATTTAAATCATATAATTTAGGTATTTCTGTTAGTAAACTATAATAATCTGACACTTATCTGATGTCCTATAAACATGATGTTATAAAAGATACTTTCCTCTTGTCCTGTTCCACAACGTCCACATGTTTCCTACTACGCTATTCCTTTTTCTTGCTCTCTCTCTCTGCCTTCTATCTAGATCTCTTATACCATAGTTGGCCTCCCTGGTCTTAACCTCCTATAATTCGTAAGTGCTTCCAAACTACTTTACCTCATCATTCACACATATAATTTTGTTTCAGGCGACAGAATTCTTCCTATATTCAATCATCATGGTGTTAGCCATGGTACTGTTTATGTTAATATCTTGCCAATATCAATACTACGACCCTATCAAAGAGACTCCACCAACTATATCAGCAACGATACCGCCTCCCAGTATAACGCCGACGTCATAGCGAAGGCACTGGAGATGATGCTCGTATCTGTGATTATTAAGGTCCAAACCAAAATGGCTGGATTGCATATATGAGAGAGTTGCAAGAAGCATAAAAGAGGATAGGATGTTGTTAATGTAGTAGTTAAGTTTGCTGTTAACTAAATGAAAAAACGATCATGAAGTTTGCAACACTAAATAAACATTTACTATTTTTCAAACTAAATAAAGTTCAAGGTCCTTTGAAATATTGATTCTTCATTTATAATTTATATTATCGATGAGTTTGAATAATGGGTTTATGATGTTTGACTATTGACACAGTTAATAGCTTTTATATATTTGTAAAACAAGTCAACTTTCTCAAGACTTCATACCAAGAGATGCAGGGTAGAAACTTTTATTTAAAATCACGTTTAATAAAAGGGTAGTTAAAGCTATTTTGTATAACTTATTTTTTTATCAATGTAAAAAAAATCTGCATGTCCTGATTTCATTATGTATGTTTTATTCAAGTGATCGTGCGTTTTCTAAAAACTTTAACACTTGCAAATAATCAGCAAACTTACACGGTATAATATAAGGTTCTAAAATAAAACCTCATTCACTGGGGTTCTGAAAAGTATATTTTACATTTTTGTAATATTTTTGTACATTGACACCATGTTAATAAATTTATGTTGATATTAACATCTTTTTCTCAATTGATTGACCCAAGCACCAAGTTCTTTTAATATATTTGATATGTTTAAAACATATATTTGGTATATTTAAAACATATGTTTCATCTGTTTAAAGCATACTTTGTATGTTTAAAAATGGGTTCTATACATAAAATATATGTTTGATATATATATAGATATTCATTGTATGTTTTAATGTTTAAAATAATTATTTTATATTAATATTTACTTAGTATTTTCTCAAATATGTAACATCTACCGTATGTATGTACTGTATACCTACTATACACTCAAGATCAACCCAGCGCACGTATTTGTCAACCAACTGTTCGTACGTGAGGGGTTTTTGGATTTCGTCTCTTTCTTGCGAAATATAACGCTTATAACATATACTAAACTATCTTGTATCTAGTTCCTAACTCACAATAGAATATTTTATGTAACACAAACTGTTCTGTTGTTAATAAACTAGAATCAAATATACTTTGTTAATTTTCTACATAGAGTAATATATGAGTTTCGTTATCCATGAATGCACATGAAAAGTAGGCAGGATTAAAAAATGGGAAGGGATATGTGTATAACCTTTTCAATTTCGGTAATTGCTACAACAAATTGAAATGTATCAATTTTGTAGTCGCGTTTTACGAATTATAATATAGCTTGTAAATTCTGAGTCGTTAGAATTATTTGATGAATTTAGTCTGGAGTATAAAATGGAATCAAAAACTTTTAAAACTTCAAAAGTTATGATTTTACTTACACGCATGATTATGTACTCTTTGACTTTGAATACGAAAATACTACTAATTCTTTTGGCATTCTAAACAATTTTTTCATTCAACGAACATTCTTCCAGATTACAGCCCATCGTTGAACTATCTCTCTTAGTTTTTAAAAACTGTCAAATAAAGATGTTTGTGCAGAAATAAAATGAATAACCCGTCAGACAATCAAAAAATAGGTCTTAAATGTCGTTTTAATTTGTTTAACTCATTGAAATATTTTGAATTGCTCTAATATTAGAGGAAGTTTTAAGTTTTTTTTTTAGGTAACGTTGATCTCAAATAATGTAAAGTTTCAAGTTTCCTTTGGATAAATCGTGTATTCTATCAACATCTGTGTAATTTATAATGTTACAACTATATGACTTCTTAAGCGATGCCTAACAAACAAAATAAAAGCAAAATATATTTACAGATGATTCACAACATTTTACATAATAAATTAACTATACATATTTTTTATCGAATCAACAAAGCTTTATTTGGCTTATTTGTCAGTGGTATATGTATTATATTCTGAATGGATTAAAAACATATTTTTAGTTTATTTTACAGTTTCAAGCGAACTATGTTCAAACCAATGATAAATAAATAATCCTTACGAGTCTTTGAATTTTCTGGCACATCTGTCATATTCCCATCTCGAGCTTTTGGTTGAAAGAATATTACCCATCAAAAATATCTTCAATACAGACATCCATCAGGGACCCAACCGAGAGATATTCATTCATTTCCTCCTTTCCTCTTTTCATGATCAATCCATCTTCTATCAGACAGAAATTTTTGGTTTCTTTATTTCATACTGTATATACTTTTCTTTTAAAAATGTTAAATGGCTACCTGTATTTTGTTACATGGCTAATACTTTAACAGAGTGGTACATGTGTGAATATACACTTCTTGATCATCATCGTACGTGCTATTAAATTACCTAAAAGGACCAAAAGTACGTCAAATGACATTTATAATAATATATTTACACTTATACTGTGAATGAATGAATGAAATATGTTTATTTCCACATAATATATACAGATAACAAAAACATATTTTTTAATAGAAAATACTTACAAAATAAAACTAAGACTAAGAATAAAAAAGAACTTTTCTGTATAAACTAAATTAAATTGACCATATGAAATACAGCAGACATAGGCAAGTGCTGCCTGTGCGTTTGCTGGGTTGCTATTTTCACTCACAAGACGGTAAATACATATAAAATATTGCAAGAGGTGATCAAAATGGTGATCCTTATACACTATTGGCTACCGGAAGTACACACTTGACACATTTTTTTATTAACTTCGTTAAGATACTTAAATACACTTATTTATGGATTTACAAGTACATAAAATTTAAAAACATATTTTATACTGAAAAAGTTACTTTTTACAGTAAATGTTATACTTTGTATATATCAAACGTGGATTTAGGTGAGAAATAAAAATTGTCAAGGATTTGTTAAGGAAGCAAAAAATAATAAAATTTACTCAAATTCATCAAGAAATACGAAGTATATCTAACTTCACATCCACAATTTCCGACGAGTCTGAGGGGTTGTCAGCGTCACTTCCTCTTCCTGTGCGCAACAATGCTACCAACTGTAACAAAACATAAATGTATCACACCTCACTATTATAATAAAGAGCTTAATTTATTTAAACTTGGATGCTAGAAACAAACGAAAACTGTAGTAAAAAGTATACGAAAGTTTTATAAAACAAATTTCCATCAAGTTTGTATCCTTTATATTTAATTAACCAAATGGTTCTGACCCATACAAATAACTGTATGCCTCTCTTTTCCTAAATACATTATCTATTTTCTCGAATTTGTAGCAAATCACTGTGCAGAAGATACTGAACAAAACAAATCGTGTAATAGTTGGTTAACACGGTTTAAGGAATTCAAAACGTTCATAAGGAGCTGTTTTAGTTAAAACCACAGTTGTTACCGTTTAAAAACAAGAAATAAACAATTGAAAGGGGTGTGAGGGTATTTTTAAGAGGTTTAAAAAGTATTTTCAAAGGTTTAAAAGGTAAATTTAAAAGGTAAATTTAAAAGGTAATTTTAAAAGGTTTAAAAGGTAATTTTAAAAGGTTTAAAAGGTAATTTTAAAAGGTTTGAAAGGTAATTTTAAAAGGTTTATAAGGTAAATTAAATGGACTTTAAAGGTAATTTTAAAACGACCCCCACCATAAACGTAATAGGTATGAGTACTTAAATATGATATGCAATTTGTATAGCATTATATTTCGCAAAAAAACTCAAGAATACTTATTGGTAATAGCTTTCTTGGCTATTTCTCAATTCTCACTTTGATAATGTTCCTCATTAACAAAGTCATTTAACACAGACATTACACACTTTGAAGAGTAATGTACAATGACGCATTTATATTATACTTTTTATGTGCCAAAAATAAAATACAAAGGTTGTATACTGAGAATTTATATCACCTATCATATCTCTATAGCGTTATTTTCCAAGAACACCAAGACAAATGGCGGGGGTTCACACACAAGACGAACATAAAGCAAAAGGATTCCCCGAAACAAAGTCTTATGTGAATGCTACAGCTTTCTCTCTGAAGCTCTGGGCTCAAAACAAAGCAAAATATTTCACTTTTGTGTAATAATACTGACTGAGTTTTATAAACTAAACGAGTTTTGTATATGAAATTGGAATCGAGTCTCTAAAATCGCCAACCGTTTTGATTTCTTGAATTTTTAATATTTAAATTTTTAGTGGGTTATTTGTACATTTTAATTACTAAACAACACATTTCAAGTAAGACGTTTGTATTGTAACAAAGATAAAACAACTAATGACTAGTGTAAATCAAATGAAGGATAATAATAAATAAATTACGATTGCCATAAGAAACAATAGTGTAACATAAAAACAACACTAACAAAACAGCTTAGAAACAAATATTGTTTATTACTTATACAAACCTCACAGAGGTCACGTACACTCTGTGACGTGTTATGAGAGCTACGTGTTGTCTGCATCGTGCTGACAGATCATATGTTACATAGTTAGTGTATTACTTATACAAACCTCACTGAGGTCACGTACACTCTGTGACGTGTTATTAGATCTACGTATTGTCTGCATCGTGCTGACACATCATATGTTACATAGTTAGTGTATTACTTATACAAACCACACTGAGGTCACGTACACTCTGTGACGAGTTATGAGATCTACGTGTTGTCTGCATCGTGCTGACAAATCATATGTTGCATAGTTAGTGTATTACTTATACAAACCTCACTGAGGTCACGTTCACTCTGTGACGTGTTATGAGATCTACGTATTGTCTGCATCGTGCTGACACATCATATGTTACATAGTTAGTGTATTACTTATACAAACCACACTGAGGTCACGTACACTCTGTGACGTGTTATGAGAGCTACGTGTTGTCTGCATCGTGCTGACAGATCATATGTTGCATAGTTAGTGTATTACTTATACAAACCTCACTGAGGTCACGTACACTCTGTGACGTGTTATGAGATCTACGTATTGTCTGCATCGTGCTGACA